ATTTATCCGAAATAAAAACGTTTCAACAAATTTATACATCACAGGAAGATGTTAAGCAGTGATATTTCAGCTAAAACAATCATTATACTTAAAGACCACAACGGGAGCTTTTTGGTTAGTAAAAAAGACGAGACCAGTAGTTTCCCCCAAAGTGAGTCAAGCAGTTTATCTGACCAGCTACGCACCAAGAACAAGGAGTTCCTGTGATTAAATGCACATTAGCATACATTAAAATTAGAATCTACTAGATAGTCTGACGTTTTCAACATTTAGAAAATAGATAATGCTGCGGGAACAGCAAGTACGCCAAAGAGCTATAAGTTTGTTAGGAAATTAAGAGATAATCCTACATTAGAAACAATACAACGAGTTATTGGAATACAGCTGAATGCAACTTGTGTGAAGAGAAAAGCACTAATAGAAACTGGTTTAATAATTTACAAAGAAAAACTTTTCCTAAACCGCATATCAAAACTACATAGAAAAGGACGAAGGATAGCAGCTGCGACTACAAAAAAAGGGTGTGTATACATTGTTTATATATCGATCATAAAAATTTCCACGAGTGTCCATTCGGGACACAAGGACATCGGCAAAATTAGCGATACTACAAAAAAATTGCAAATTGGTGGAAAGCCTTTGACTAAGGAACCGGAAGACAAAAAGGAAACAGTAAATATGGCTGCAATCAATTCGAAGTCGACGAAATTAGGAGGAAAATTTAATTTGACTTCCCATGTGAAGTATGAGCATTTAGTGGCAGGAATTTCGGGTGGCGTTACATCGACACTAATCTTGCATCCATTAGATTTGATAAAAATTCGATTTGCTGGTAAGTGTAAAAAATATGTACATACTCTGTTATGTATATCGTTACTCTACTATAGAAAGGCCCTATCACACATTTTTATTTCTTCACAGAGTAAATAGCTCTAAAATCGAATAAAAAGTACAGTCTTTTAGTTGCGAATTTCTTCTGTTTTTTATTAAAGGTTCTACAAAGGTTTAATATTATTTATAATTATTTTTCAATTCCATTAGAAGATTGCAAAGTAATCGGCCGTCTTTTCTATAAAGCTGGATTTCAAAAGAAAATGTGTTAGGCCCTTTCTATATTAAGGTAACTTATATTAAGCTAATTATGATATTTAGGAATGAAACTTTCATAATGAAAATCTAGTATATCTATAAACCCAATATTCTCCATAGTGCATAATGTGTATGTAGTACCTACTAAGGAAATGTGTATATAGTTGATAAGGGTATGTCTGGTTTATATTGATATATGAGGAAATTAGATAAAATTAGCAATTAAGGCGGCATGTTGATAAGGATGCAAAAATATTAGCGCGTGCCGTTATCATCAGCCATTTGAGTGATCAAAGCTAAATTATCAATATAATAAAAGGAAATAAATTGAATATGTAGGTGATAAGAGTTGATTAGAAACGTATGTAGTAGGTATACTTCGTACAATCCCAGAAGAGATTTACGCCGGCGAGCCACGTTGCTGCCGCCGCCGTTTTTTTGTCTTTTTTCACTTGCCGCTGCAGAGTCATGGAAACATCGGCGCGGCGGATAAAACTTTGTGGCTTTGCGCGATATTTATAACTTTGCCAGCAAAGCGCCCGACGCAAAAGGAATGCCACAATGAACGAAAAGAAAATAATTTTGTACTGCTTTTTTACACGTCAAAATTGCTGTGGGTTTTATATATTTAGCTTTAAAAATATCAGCAATGTAAGTAAATGTTATGTTTCTGCATAAAATCACGAATTTCGACGAAACAAAATAAATATTACAACAGCTGATTATCAACGCGCGCAAAAAGATGGGGAGTGCTTTGTGCATTTTCATACAATTCATCTTATTTGTCAAAGCGAATCTGTCACGCAAAGCGAAGCAAGCGTTTTATCTGGCATCTGAGGGTTAATGTTCAAAACATTCATTGAATTCTAGTAGAATAAGGGCGGATCTCCATAGCATGCGTATACGTATGCGTGCGTTTGACAGAAAAATTGAATATACAAGTTTTTATGGCAGCACCTACATAGCAACGCATCAAAATGTACGGATACGAATGCTATGGAAATCCGCCATAAAGTGCAAGTTTAAAATGATTAAAAACTACCGTTAATTTTTTTTTAGACATTTTTGTTCCATATAACGAATAAAAAACTCTTAAAGTAAGGGTCCTCGAAATTTTAGGGTTGCACACCACTTTGTTGACATGTTTTTTTTTTAGTTTATAACACACAAAAGGACAACTGTATATACCGAGGATCAATAGGGTGTGCCATTCAAATGAGTCGGAGGGCATGAATACACATGGAAAAGATTTTAAAAAGTTTGGCATCTTTAGACACCTAGCAGTAAATGTCCCAAAATTAAATTAATTTAAACTTGCAATTGTAATACAAATCGCACATTTGCTGCAAGAGTGTCGGTAATCAAAAAAATCAACAAGTGGAGAAAAAAACAGCTTTAATGTTTTGAATTTATATACTCAGTAAAAATCAATACATATTTTGTTCTAGAGAGCAACTGGTAATTGATTGATGTTTACATAACATTGACGAAAACTCACTTAACTGATTTTTTTTTCGATTAAGGTTGCAGCAAATGTTCGAAATGAACTTTGCACCGGATGTTGAGTGATATTCTCCTCAATCGTAATCCATATGCCGATATTACGCACTGTCTAGTCGGTAGTCATTCGCACGCATCTGAAACGTGATCACCACATCATCGAAAAGCGGAAATTTTTGATGTTTAATAAATGGAATGTGTCACCGTGGCTATACAATGCCGCCAGCCAGTTAGTAGTCAAAACATTAATATTGGTCGCTATATGAATGCAAACGTAATGTACATGTATCATCGTTAGTATTATATTGTAGACAGCAATGCAAATATCGCGACAAGTGCAAAATATATGATGTAGATATGTACTTAACTATATTATATGGATGTATGTACAAACATTAGGCATATGATTTATAAATTGGCACCCAATTCATAAAAAATTTTGAAAAATTTTAGCTGCTTTAAAAATCGAAAATTTGTATGAGAATGTCTTTAAATCTATTTTATTATTCTATCGAATAAGGCCAGACTTTTTTATGTGGGTGTTTCCATGATATCGAACCTGACATTCGTCCGACATTAAAGTTAAAAAAATCATACGAAAACGGAAGTCACTTGTAAAAAAAAAAAAAATTGCCGTTGTGTAGCTTTGATACCGTCCTTTGGTTGACAAAAAAATTAGATGCGAACGCCGTTGTCGAGAAAATCGATGAAAAGGTGGCAAGGTGGAAAATTCCTAGTGAACAAATCAAAAAAGTTGATTTTGTATCGTTGTCATAATTCTGACTTCAAAAATGGAGGAACATTTTTCCCCCTTTTTTTGTTTATCCTAAAGGTGGTACCTCAAGTATGGTTCCATACTAATTAAGTTTAGTTCCTATCATTGGATTGAAGAAACCAAAGGTAGTCCTAAATTGTTATATGAGAATTGAAGTCGTGTTTTTGTTTTACTAAAAATTATTTGTTTTTTTTTTTTAGTAAAATTCTTTTTCTTTCTCGGAGTTTCCTCCGGGAACTTTTTGTAGCACATTTTGACAAAAACGCTATTTTTTGGTTTTTCATCATTCTTCATTCGCTGCTCAAAGTTATATTTAATTAAAAAACAAAGTCATATGGCTAATGTATGTATGTACATACATACTCCTCAAATCTATACACGCGCCACCGTATTGTTTGGCTTTGTACAAATCGCACCCCTCTTCAAAAGAAACACAACTCAAAATTTTGCATTTTTCAAATTATGCGCTAAAAATGTACACAGAATTTTTATTTACCTTTCAGCAAAAGCTGGAGCAAATTTTTGTTATAAATTGTTAAAAAAAAACCCTGAGGTAAAGTCGCCCTTGCCCATATGATCATCATGTGCTAAGAGATAGTTTTTCGCATTTTCTGACAAACGTATTATTTTGAGTTGTGACTCTTTTGAAGAGGGTGGCCGATATGTATACATATAATATTTTTTGTAAGCAGACTTGTGTGTTTA